CCCCCCTGGCCCGCACGCAGCCCTTCTTTTTAAAATCCCCCCCCCCCCCCCCCAATCTAATCAGAATTTCCCTTGTTATAACTTGTATCCCTTGCCCTTTTGCTGTGTGCCTCCCTGTCTTCTCTACAACCACCCAGTAGGGAGCTGAAAACAGCAATATGAAATTATTCTACTGGGGAAATGCAGTAAACAGTGTTGGCCATAGTTTTCTGTGGTTAAAGAGATTATTCTACTCCGATGACCTTGTAGTAGACAACATTAGATCTTAGAGAAGCAGACATAAAAGGGGTATCTCAGCTGCTTGCTGGAAGGCTGATGCTCCAGAATGGTTCCTCCATGCAGCAGTGCCGAGTCAAACTGCTGAATCTTTGCAGGCAAAGAGCTAGAGAGCAGAGCACAGCAGAAAATGTGACTCTGCTTTGAATTTTTAGGAGGCGAAAGAGCCATTGCTTGATGGAGTCCCATATTCTGTGACTTTAGGAAAGAGAATTATAATCAAATTTCTAGTAGTACTCCTTTTAAAAAAATCAAATTATGACAGAAGTCTTGCTTGGGCAAAGGCTTCCGGTTCAAAACAGTACTGCCATGTCTGCTTACTCTCTCTCACCCCAAAAATCTCAGTACACTACCTTTATTAAGTCACATTTACGGGATAAAATGTTACATTATTTACATTAAAACAAGATAAATTTTGATGGATTAGGTTTTTCCCAACATTTCATTACCTACTCTTTTTTTGTTGGATAATGTCTCTTCTGATTAAGAATACACCAAATATATTAAAAAAGCATTCGTGTAACCATGGCTGTTTCAGCAAACAAAAAAGCCCTTCAACTGCTTGGCACTGATCTCATGTTGGCAAGTTACACAGCCCCGAATCAACCAGTGAAGTTCTCAGTTGCCTGCAGCTTTTTCTGAATATTAGGCTAGAACTGGTGCTGTTTAAAAAAAAGAAAGTTCCTTTTTGGTTATTTCAAATTAGTTAACACAAAATTTGATCCAAACCAAATTCTCAACCATGAAGTAATGGTTTTTCCAATCAGTCTCTTGACGTTAAAGAGGAAACATACACTAGTCAATAAATAATTCTAATACATTTTTTTTATTGTTATTTCCATGTACTTCATCATTTGTCCAACAACTGTTCATTAAGTCACAGATCTGTTTTCACTGAATTTTCCACTTCAGGTATCAGAAAAAGCTAGTTTGTCTAGCTAGTTTATCATGTTTTAAAATGCTCAACATAATCTGAAAAGGAAAGAACTGGCATATTTTTTACATTTGTTTTAACATTTAGATTATTATTTATGTCCCATCTCTGCTGTCCCCTTACACTTCTGTTGCTCAGACAGTCCCAAGGAGGCTGCACAAGTGCTCACTTTTCCTGTTGTACCCCGTATTGTATTGCCTTGCATCCTGCTTCTGACACCAGCCAAAGAGTCCTGCTGCTGGCCAGTGCAGCTGAGTAACATGGTACATCTGCTGTGATGGACTGGCTGCCTACCAGTTTCTTTGTATTCCTTTTTCCCTCCTGCTTGAATCATCTGTTGTAGAGCTTACTTCACTGGAATCAACCTTTACAGTGTATAGACAGTGGAAAACAACCGTGCCTGAGAGAAAAAAGGCTATGACTATCCATGAAAGTATAGAACGGAAAATATAAGGACAACTTACGTGGTCACTGGAAAAGTTGCATATCAGCCACGCTATGTCGACAGACACAGGGCTAGACGTCGTGTTTGGTGGATGTCCTACTGTGCCAAGCACTGCACAGATCTGAAGGCAACCACAGTTCCTAGAAAAGCTTACAATCGTACTTCACACAGACACGTGACATTGCCTTTTAATGACTTCCTCAAAGTTTCTATCATATCTTTTCAAGCCGCTACACTCCTCAACTCTGGCTGCCCGTTCTTCACTCACCTCCTGCTGATGGTAGCCTAGGAGAGGTCCTTTGTGTGTATTCAGAGCCCAGAGTTCAACTCCTCACCTTTCACTACTGCTGTGGAAACTTTATGAGGGCTTAGGCAAAGGCGACGGGGGGTGTGTGTTTCCAAGCAGGAGCTGGCTGTCCCCTCCCAGACAAGTCATGTGAAGCCAGTGCCATGTCACTGTTAGTACTGGCAGTGTTCCCTGTGCATATGTGCATGCTGTCACTCAGTTAAGCATTTGGAATACATCTCTGCAGGTAAGAGTTTTTCATCAAGAGTTAACGGCTGTATCTGAGAATAAAAAAGCCACTGACACCTTAAAGATAAGTAGTTTTTATAACACACTAACTCATGTTTCGAGCACAAAATAGATAGTGCCAGGGCAAGTGAATGGGTCAAAGGTGTATTTGTTAAAAGCAATAAGGGTTACTGTGAAATTTGGCAAAAAACCAGCAGTCCGGTTTTCCTTGTATTGTACTAGGTCTACAAATTAAACCAATGCTGTTGCTACATACTGTCCTCAACCAGTTGCAGGTATTGGTTCCAGCTACGGACAAGATGCAAATAGGTTAGCATGTGCTTGGGCTCAGTTGTCTTTAAATATAATGTTTACAGACCATAAAGTCTCTAATTATGGTACTGCAGAGAGCAAGATGTAATTTGCAGTAGCATTGCTCTTTATTATGCAAATGTGGCCCAAATCTGTGTTACTTACCTAATATGCAGTGCCCTATTATGAA